AGGTTTGTCATGGTGGGCGGAGTTTTGCCCATATCAGTAGCAACTGACTTACAACAAGGTCAATAATGATATAACATCTGCCGCTAGATCTGGTTTTTGATGCATAGGGTGTGCATTTTCTCTATATATTTAGAATTGCTGAAATTGAATGCTTTCTTACTGGTCAAAACCTAATTGATTTATGATTGAAGGCCAATCCTGAAATATCCCAATGGTACATGTGTGAATTATATTGAAGTTAATGGGGTACAAGTAGGAAAATCCTTATTTATTCAATTGTGACACATTCATTTTTGTCATGAAAATGTAGTTTTAAATGAATTTAGCTCCTAGAAGGGTGCCCCTATATGTCTGATTTTCACACATATTGTTCCTTGACCAGTTATCTTCAAAAGTGTGTCTCAGATTTCCAAACACATCAATAGAACAAATTTTATACCCAATTAAATTTAGTGATCTCTTATGAATTTAGGTTGCAAACTTCATTGAAGGTTAATGAGAGAATGAAATACAATAGGAAAAATCTGAGACACCCTTTTGGAGGTCAAACTGTGTTATACAAGAATCTATAAAATATTTTGGGATGCTGTGAATAACAAAGAAGCTAATTTCATTCAAGTGTGGTCATCTCAATATATCAACTAATTACATAATAATTAATTATGTAATAATTATTATGTAAAATTGACGTTTTCACCATTTGAAAGATTAATCTTTCTTCTTTCTTTTGGTACCTCATTTATAAAATTTAAAGCTGGATGAAAGAAATTACATCAGTTTAAAGTTGTCTGATTGGGGGTGAAAAAATCTTTGTATTGTGCTTCCTTAAGAACATCAATAATTCAATTTTTAAGTTAAATTTTGGACTCCAATTTGGACCAACTTTAAAAACCAAGCACAAAATCAAAAATCGAAAACATGTTGGATTGGGCATATAAAATAACACCAATAATTCAATTTTTGATGAAATCAAACAAAGTATAATTTTGGACCCCAATTTGGACCAACTTGAATACTGCGCCCAAAATCAAAAATCTAAATACACGCTTAGATATAGTATATCAAAGAACCCTAACCATTCGTTTTTTTTTTCTAAATCAAACAAAGTTTAATTTTGGACCCTTTGGACCTTAATGTAATGTTGACAAATTTGAAAACAGGCCCCAAATTTAAAAATCTAAATACATGGTTAAATTCAGCATATCAAAGAACACCAATAATTCAATTTTTAAAGAAATCAAACAAAGTTTATTTTGGACCTTTCAACCTTAATATGGATCAATTCAAAAACAGACCCAAAATCCAAATAATAAATACCCAATTAGATTCAGCATATTAAAGAAGCCCAAGAATTCAAGACTTTGAATAATCCCATTAAAATTGCTAAAGAAATAAGCAATTTATACAAAGTATTACAAAAGAATTATTTTTGGTCCCTTTTAACTAAACCGGTACGGTCATAGCTCCTTACATCAAACCCAAACTCTATATTATGATATAACATCTTGTGGCACAATTAAATAGCAATAAATAGACTTCTACTCAAGATATTGTCCAGAAACCAGAACATCCCCTGTTCGGCCCCTAATTATTAAACGGTTTAGACCATGACCCCCAAAATCAATCCCAACTTTCCTTTTAAGTATGGAACCTTGTGGTAAAATTTCATAGAGATCCCTACTCTTATATTAATTATTGTCCTGAAACATGAAAAATGCTTGTTTTTACCCCTTTTGGCCCCTAATTACTAAACAGCTACGACAATAACACCCAAAATTAATCCCAACCTTCCTATTGTTGCATGGAACCTTGTGCTAAAATTTAATAGAGATCCATACACTAATAGACAGATTTTTTCCGATTATCTGCCTTAGTTTGTGATGCGACTCCTAGGCGTCGTCGTAGTAGCGGTCACCATTACAACCGTGAAAAAAATATAAACAAGATATACATCTATTTCCCAGACCGCATATAATTAACGTAACACAAGAATGTGAAGGCGTACTTGACCTCGGCAAAATTGTAAATGCTATAAATAAAAAAGTAATAAGATAAGGAATGGACAAATTATAAGGGTATTGCAAGTGTCGTGTCCTTAAAATATAAGGACCGGTCCGGTCCGGATTTCAGTGGGTACCGAAAAAAATATACCTATAGACATGTATCGTTTGATGATAAACTTTTTTTCACAGAGACGAGAGTTTTGTGCTTGTGGTTCGACTCGCGTATACTGCTCAAACTTGAGTGACGTTTTCGTATTACCTTTGTCTCCGCATGAATTGCGCTACATGCTATCGATGCGTCGGGCCATATGTAGACTTAACTTTGCGATTAAAATGTGCTGAAGAAGTTTTGAACTCTCACGGCCCATGTTATCATATAGTTATTAGGTGTTCGATTCCAATTTATTTTGCAGAAAATTACTCGACATAAAACTACTAGTATGCATAGTATAACATCATGCTCCGGCCCATGCTTAAAATAAATGAATGTCATTTAACCACAAAAGACTCCAACGTGTAAATTCAAAGCGATGATTAGTTGTTTTACAAGCGTCATTTAGTGTTTTTCCAACTCCCCTCCCCACCACCGCAAAACAGAGGTCTCGTATATTTTTATCCTGAATCTGTATTAGACTCCGATGTCCCCGATGTATACAGTGAAATACAGTATTACAGTGTTACATTAGGGATTTATATTGGACCGTCAGACTACTGAACTTTCGGATTTCGGGTTGTCGGATTATAGCTACGCTTCCGTAGGTTCTAGTAAACTATTTGATTACCAAGACCTTTGAAAAATCCTTTCTAATGTGTAAAATTTTATAATTCATGCACAGAATAATCTACTGAGAAAAGTTCAAATCAAGTTTCAACAGAAGTTACTGTATACGTCGTATAAAGAAAGTAAAGTGAATATATACTTTAAGCGACAGGCCTACATGTATGGAATATTAAGACGAGGCTTATAGGGAAGGGCCCTTGTTAGTAAGTTTTGCTGGGATTTGTCTTTGAATGCAGCTGTTTGTAAAACCTTTAAGGTTTTCAGCAAGAACTGGCACCCAGGAATAAAATATTTTACAAGCCTTACTTTTCGAAATATGAAAGTGCCGTCCCAAATAACCAAATATCAAACTAAGTGTTAATTTAACCGTATCAGTACGATCGAACAACAGCTGATCTGCAATATCGTAGTTGAAAATTAAATTTGTGTAGTAATTCCACTAAATATTTGTGTCTGAATTGATGTTGTAGGAGCGTCTGTCCATTTTGCAACATAAAGATAGTCGTCATGAATAAAAAAGTTCGTCTCTTCATACTGGGTTGATATGCTTACAATTAAAACTACATGTAGCCTCGGGGTAGGTTTCATTGTTATTATCTAAAAAAATTTGCAGGGGCGGATTTATAGGAGTGCCTTGGCCTTCTTATGGAGATTCATTTATGGTTAATCCTGACTTTTTACCGCTTCTACTACAAGGTTTGTCTTGTTTGGGGGACCGCCCCCTATTTTTCAAAATCCTGGATCCGCATCTGATGTGGGGATCTTCTATACAAAAAGTGGCAGATGCACTGTAGTCATCGGATAGATTTTCATAGATTTATTCAAGTTTTTTCACAGTCGTTTCATAGATTACCTTAGCTGTATTTGGCAAAACTTTTAGGAATTTTTGGTCCTCAATGCTCTTCAACTTCGTACTTTATTTGGCCTTTTTAATATTTTTTGATTCGAGCGTCACTGATGAGTCTTTTGTAGACGAAACGCGCGTCTGGCGTAAATATAAAATTTCAATCCTGGTATTTATGATGAGTTTATTCACGACTTGTCAACATTCGTTTGCCAGTGCAATTTTACTTTCATAACACGTTTCATTTAAAGAAAAAAAAACGGATTGTGTGCAGTCGGCGCACCATCCAGAAAAAAAAATGTCCGGACCATTGAAAAACCTCTTTGATCCACTCAAGTTTTGTTGGCTCGCCAGAAGGCATCAAATGAGACTTATATGGATTCAAACATGTGCAACTCGTTGTGTAATTCACATATTGATATTTTCCACATCTGAAGTGTTTACGATTATTTGTACAACTATTTACTGCACAAGTTGCCTCCACCTTTTTTTTATAACTTTCGGCGTTATCTATAGCAAAATAAATAAGAAAATGAAAGAAAGACAAATGTAAACAGAAAATCGATAATGTATTGATCAATACACGTGCTTTATTTTTCACGGTTGTAATGGCTGATCGGTCACATGAGAGGTTAATGGATGCGCCCATGTTTTCTAGGTCAATTATAGATAAACCCGTCTATACTCAAGTTATTGTCTGTGAACCAGACAAATAATTGTTTTGTTAGGCCCTTTTTGGTCCCTAATTCCTAAACAGCTACTACAATAATCCCCAACATAAACCCCAACCTTCCTATTGGGGAAAGGAACCTTGTGCTAAAATTTAATAGAGATCCATACACTTATACTCAAGTTATTGCCTGCAAACCACAAAAATAGTCCCCTTTTCAGCACCTAATTATTAAACGGTTTAAGCAGTGACCCCCAAAGATCAATCAAAACTTTTCTTTTGAAATATGGAACCTTGTGGTAAAATTTGTTACACATCCATACACTTATACTAAAGTTATTGTCTGCAAACCAATTTATTTTCTATGAACCAGTAAAACTGACATATTTTGGCCCCTAATTACAAAACCGCTCAGACTATAGCCCCCAAAAACAATCCCAACCATCTTTTAGTGGTATGGAACCGTGTGCTAAAATTTCATAGAGATCCATGCACTTACACTCAAGTTATTGTCTGCGACCCAAAATGTCTTCAGACGCAGACGCAGACAACACCATAACATAATACGAACGCAAATAAATTTGCGGTCGTATAAAAACCACATAAGATTCTATAAGCTGTATGTAAATGCTTGAATATAAGTCAAAGACAATACAGTATGGTTCAACATATAAATAAATATATACTAGTAATGTGTATTACCTTTTTCCCTTTTATCTCCTGGTGTGTGATTAATAACGCGTTTCTGTTGATCACCATCGTCTGAAAATATAACAATTATTTTATTATCTTGATGCAAAAGAAAAGTAGCAGAAGAAAAAAAAACCGAATAATTAGAACAAAATCAAAAGATCTTTCCACGGAAAGGTGGCAAGAGCTCAAACAGTATGAAAAACAAAATTAAAAACCTTTTACTAGTGTTCGAATACTTCAAAATTTTACCAACATTGAATTGACAGAAAATTGCCGTATCAAACAAATTACAGGTCACCACAGGAGTGCTGACATCTAAGCTGGTGAAACGGTTACCAACACTTGCATTAACCCAGTGGTTTTAAAGTTAGTATATTAGACTCATTTGCACTCTAAGAAGTATCTTTCTACCCCAGGGATAGATCGCCTTAGCTATATTTGGCAAATTATTTTTGGAATTCTAATTTTTCAATGCTATGTCTGGTAACCCAAATAAAACTCTGGTTCATCAAATGTTTTTGTTTACTTCAGCTAGGCTGAATTGAGATATGCGAATTCGGATGTGGATATATCAAAATTATTTCAAAATGGTATGGTATGAGAAGAAATACTCCTTTATCCAGAATTTGTTTCCCACATTGGGTAAAAAATTTAACAATTGATGAAAACCAAGTTGAATTTTGATATTAAAGAGCCAAAATAATATATATAAAAATCTATTTAACAATTATGTATACAATGAATATATTTTAATTTATTTGGTAATATAAATGTGCTATTGAAAATAAAGTTGATAAAACCTTCATTGTATAAAACGTACATTGTAACCAAAACTAAATCAAGACATAGCAGTACTTTCCATCCTCTAGAAGTTATCCCTTTTAATTATTCTTATTCTAAAAAAATTAAGCTTTTGCTAAACTTTTTCAATTATTTAGGTTTGATTTGTCTTTAAGCGTTTAAAATTTTGTTACAGAAGAGAAAGGCGAAAGATATAAAACGATATTCATACACATACATTGAAGACAAATTTACAACTACTCATAAATAGAAGACAAACGGACATCCGACAAACCTGCAAATAAATGAAAATCTCATCCTCTTTTCCTCAAATTGGACCTACCTAACTTTTTTTGTCGTTTTTAGATTTTTATGGCATGAATTTGTCGGTTTTTTTTTAGAATCACCCGTTCGATTTTCCCTTTAGTATCTTTCGCATGTCTTTGTAGGCAGCAAACCTCTAGCAAAGAAATCATTAAACAATAATTGGAAACGCAAGATCTGGGATATTGTATCAGTTGGGAGATATACTCAATATGCTGGTGCTGCTGGAATATTGCTACATAGAAATGGTAAATTCACAATTGGGAAGCTAACCCAATTCTTTTGTCGTTAAGATTTGTTTTAAACTTGCCCGCATTGTCAACTTCTGATGTAAGTCATATATGAAGCAGTATCTGTATCTGTGGTAACCTTTATTTTTTAGTTCGATAGAATACACGTTCCGAAATAGGAAACAATGTTTTATATGACTTTTTGAAATGGCCTTCTGCAGAATATTTGTGTAAAACTTGTCATGTTTTATTTTTATAAAGGTTGTATTAATTAGAAAAATTGTACTTTTATAACAAATGCAGCTTAGATGTAAACTAGATGCAACAGTAGTTCACCTATATTCAAATCTTAATCATAATCAGGAATAGGACACAAACTTAAATTTCCCCAGATCAGCCAAGTATTCTTGTTTCTCGAGATCTTTAACTACGAAAACATGTCGCTAGAGAGTTGAGATACAGATTGAATTAAGAGGTTAACAACTACGGTCACCATCACAAATTTGGTCAGATGTAACATGTGTAAGAACTCACTTTAAATCTATCGAAGAAATTGGTCTAACTGCTTTCTGAATTCTTTCTTTTTCAATTTCTTTTAAAGCATGCATGTCTTTTGTGAGATGTTGTTTGACAATAAATTTGCTATTGACTGGTGTACCTACCTTACTTTAACTTATTACAATATCACAGTATCCTAGAAGAAAAACGAAATATAGGAATGAAGTTTGACATACCTTTGTCATCAGAATGTATGCTTGAAACGTTTTTCAATATGCTCTCCAAATAGTAAAATCCACAGTGGCAAGCGTAGGGAATGTCAATGTCTCTGGCTGTGCAATTTTTTATAACAAGCCAATAGTGTCCTCTCTCGTGAAATACTGTGTATTTGCTGTGGTCATAAACCTGTACATCAAATGATATAACTTCTTTTTCTGGACCACCAATCCATTTGAAGATTCGTGAACCAAAACAGTCTCCACTACCCTTCGTCGTGCATTTTAAACTTATGTTGTCGCCAAAAAATATTGGTATTGTTGTTAACTCCCATGATACTAAAATTTCAAATGAAATGTTAAAATTCCTTTAACCGCTTTTCTTATGAATTATTCGATAAGGGAGCAAATAAATGCTGTCGATCATCAATTTTGTGTTTCTTTGTGACTTAAAACTTCTTTATGAAAGATTTTTTCGAAATAACATAAATACGCCTTATTAACAAAATGATTTTTTATTCTACTTAAAATTTGCTTTGTGTGCGTGTAGAATTCATTCAGTGTATAACATCGTTTTTTTTTTTTTACTTGTTCTTATTAATGTTTTTTTGTTAAGGAAACTATTCAACAACATTTGTGATTCGGAAAAGGTCTTCTTACACAATGATACCAATTTTGCATGATACTCGAATATGAATTCAAATAATAATGTTAATTTAATGATATATTTGATATAAACGAAAAATTAGACCAGATCTTAAATGAAAAACATATTCATTTGTGAAAAATATTGATTTAGGCAATTCCCCTATTTGCATCGCTCAATAAAAAAAGGTCTGCGCATAATAAATATGGCTTTAGTTCAAACCGATGATGCGTATCATAAAGTGGTTGGTAGAAATAAAAGACGTCTTGACTATTTGATATATGTATTAGAAAGCCATAGTAACACGTCAAGGTGACGTGACGTTACATAAATCGCGGTACATAATGAACGTCATGTGTGCGGTAGTTACGACATACTGGGGACCGCACATAAGTGAAATTAGCAAAACATTATTAAACAACGTTGAAATGAATTATCAAGAAAATAAAATAACTGAAAACTTTAAGTGTCTCTCAAATGAATTAATGTCCATGAAAAACTAAATTGAATCTCGCTATTTACACATTTAAAGTCTTTGTATTATTCACTTAGTCCATTTCTTTATCTTCTCCATGGCAACCATCTTAGCTCTGCGACATGTTTTATTGCACAATCTGTATTGTCCTGTTCACTGTTTAAACTAAATTCAAGTAGGTACAGTTTTGTGATCGGAGGTGATGTTAGTCCATTTTTAGCCCGTATGACGGCAGATCTTGCTAGTCCGTCTCCTCCTACATTGAGTTTTTCGACAACGGCTGGAGTCCATTTGATCCTCAGCGAATCTTCATAGATTTGTTCCACGTCTCCAATGCTGATCAGCTGTTGGTTCTAAGTAGTTCAACGTTAATCAGAGAACGCCTTAACACCTTTTTGATACTTCGTAAGTCCCAAAAGCCACCATACCATGGTGCTCTCTTTGGTATAAACTTCCATGTAGTGCCGAAGTTGTTGAGTTTTTCTATAACTGATGGTGAGCGTGTTAATTCCTCAATCTGCTTGGCGGCTGCGATGTATGTTGTAGCGTTGTCAAAAATCATAGTTTTTGGCAATGATTTTCTACTGGCGAATCTTCGAAACGCTAATAAGAATGTCTCTTCAGATAAATTCATCACTACTTCCAAATGTACAGCACGGGTGTTTGCGCAGGTAAATAAGCAAATATATACTTTACTAGTTTGTCCATTTGTGTTTCTTACATTCAAGGCACCTGTAAAATCTTCTCCGGTTACTGTAATCAGGGTGCTTCTGTCAGTCGGTCCTTAGGTAAAGAAGGTGGATCTGGAGCCGAATACGGTCGACTAGCAATTTTCTTGCAGATCACGCATTTGTGTATAGTGTTCTTGATAACTTGTCGTATCGATGGTATCCAATAGGTTTGGCGGAGTAATGTTACGGTACTCGATAACCCCGAATGTAAATGAGTTACATGTGCGTCCATTATTATAAGTTGTGTCAATTTGTCCTTTGCAGGTAGCAATATCGGGAATTTTGTATATTCTTCAAGCGGTGCATTATAAATGCGTCCGTCGCAGCGAATTAATTTGTCATTACCTATGTACAATTTGAGCTGGTTGACAAGTTGTGTTTTCTCCCCTTTCCTGTTTGTAAGTCTTGAATGATTTCTGAATAGAGTTTTTTCTGAGTGTATTTTATCCACGCTATAGATGCGTTTTGTATTTCGAGCGTTTTTAACGTACTTTTTTGTATCGCTCGTGTTCTACAGTTTGTAATAAATCTTCTCACGTAAGCGGTAATTCGTAGAAGTTTCTTGAATGAGTTGAATTTATTCACATCGATGACATTTCCGATCCCTCGTATTGTAAAGGTGCTTTTTGTAGCTTTTGTAGTATCAACGATGCCTTCTTGTTGTGCAATAGTGGATAAAATTTGTGCTTCATCTCTGTTCCATTCTGGCCAATTATCTTCTACTGTGAGCTAATCTGGGCCATGCATCCAAAGTTTGTTGTTTTGAAATTTATCTATGGTTATCCCTGACAGTTAATCAGCGGGATTTGACTCACTTGGGCAGTATCTCCAAGTTAATCTTCTGTAAGTTCTCTAAGTTTTCTTTGAACTTAACCAGTTTAAAACGATCTGGCTATCACTCCATAAAACTGCACGGGTTATCTGCATGGTGTCCCGGATGTGTGTGAATAGTCTGCTTCCAATAACGTCAGCCATCAATTCTAATCTGGGTTTTGTCAGTTGATTTAGAGGTGCTACTCTGTTCTTTGCCATTATAAGGGAATTTTTTCCGTTTGCGACAATGTACGCGCATGCGCCGTAGGCTTTCATACTGGAGTCCGTAAATACATGTACAACGTTGCCCTATGTTCTCTAGCTAAGTTTTGGCGTATTTCTGCGGGAAACTTGTTCAGAATAACTGGTACAAGTATGAACCATAAGTGTCATCTGTCTGTCCAAATACCTCGTACGTAAGTTTCAGTTTTATCATAATAATTGCGGAGGCTAGTTAAAGTATAAATCAGTGGCCAAACATCAAGTAGAGCTTGCATGTATGTTTGTATTATAGTATGTATCTGTCCATACCTCTCTTGTAACAACGAAATAGCTTTGCCGTAGTTAATGTTAACATGATATGGTCTGCAATGCTTCGCCCTATAGGAGTGACTTCAAGTAGTTAAATTTTTGTACGTCGCTGAGTGTGGGATTTGTGTGAATAGATTTCTCATATGAATCCCAAAAGGATTGCCAATCTTAAATATTCCCTTCAAACGTAGGTACGTTCAACTTTGGTAGTTTGTGGTACTGATTATTTGCGCTAGAAGACGAATGTAAACTTGGAATGTGCATAGACGGGTTCGTAGAAGGAACAATCTCTGATATAGCGGGGTTACTGGTATAAAATGATTCTGCATTTGATTGTACATGAGATGTCGACATGAAACAATTGGCGTGCGGGTTCAATTGAGAGGAGTCTCTTGCGGGTACACTATTGAATGTAGTTGAAATCATGGTATGTATGGGTGTATCAGAGGGAGTAACATTACTAGCTTGGATAACGGTAGTGTTGACGGGTAAATTATGACTTGTTGATTGTGAGGGTTGAATAAGTTTTCTAATTTGACGGATTTTTTTATCTAAATCAAACATGTACTCATCTGTTTGCTGAATTTCATCCACCACGTCTTCATCCGAGCTAACTTCCACAATTTTATCATTTAGATCTTTCAGAACGTTCTGTAACACGGAATCTAAATTAGCTGTGACTTCCGCAATTTCTATATCGGAAATATCTCTTATGTCTCCAAAATTCTTCCAAAGTCTTGTAATTGCTCCTTTGTGTCAGGAACGAATGGCTTTCAGCTTTGTACCTAGTTTCACTTTTGGTTACGGCACCATAATATCATAAAGTGGTTGATGGAAATAAAAGACTTCTTGACTATTTATTATGCATAAAAATTAAATATTACTTTAATACTTCATAAAAACGGTGTTTCTGAAAATTTCACAAATTCCATTCCGATATATAAAATTTTAATTGCAATTCAGTTGTGAAAAAAATAAACACAATGTTGCTCTACCAATGTTCTTGTATGGAACGAAACCAAAATGTTGGCAATATTCAAAGTTCAAGTTCTGTGTAAGATTTGAATAATGAATTCAACATACCTGAACAATTTTCTTCTGACATCACACCAGATATTGTTGACAAAATAATAATGAACCTCCAAAAGCATTGTTTCTCTGTTCTTCTTCCAATATCTGGAATATTTCAATCATTAATCGATATATAAGCTGTGCAAATGTTAGTCTTTATTTAGGTCACCAATAGCTTGAATAACATTTTCGGTGTTTTTGGTATTTTTAGATTAAGGTCCCAACCTCAGGAATCCATTTCCTACACTTTTAGGCCAATTTTACTTTTTATTATTTACCACAATTTTTTTTAAACATTACGGTCGTCATGTCACAGTCTTTTAATTTGATTGATTTTTTACATTTACACGAACATCCAAGTCAGTGGTGTTCCTTCACCGAATTTCCTGGGGAATAAACATGCAGTGTATCACAAATTAATCAACACAGTGCTTGTTTTTATTGAAAAATATAAACAAATGATTTTTTGGTATTTTTTTTTTTTTTTTATAAATATAAATCAGTTTTGTTGATGTCTTAATGTTAGATAAGAGTCAATTACCAATCCGCTATTATGTGATATATATAATCTTATCAGCGTATTTTAAAGGATTAACACGACAAGTGTCACTATTGCAACAGGAACAACTAGCTAGCTTTTCCATAGCATCTGATATCACCCCCATTTCGTTGGGCTTCGTGTAACTCATTAATTTGTTTTCCATGTAGTGTTTGACGGAATTGATTGCTAAATCATTGTCTCTTGATTTTTGACAATATGTAGTCAATATCATTTCGACTAATGAGTATTGAATTTCCCCTTGGTATCCTCCGTCTCTTTTTCTTTAAAAAAAACATGTAAGTTAATAAAAACGTTCTGCTTTAATTCGTTTTCTTCTGTAGCTATATCGTGTTAAATTTGGTTTTCAGTATCTCAAAGGGAAACAATTTAAAACATTCTTTCATATAACATGTTAGTTTGAGTTTTCTATTAGTCAAGATAGTGCGCCTAAAAAATGATATGTGTTTATCCTTTTAACTAATGAATAACTGAATATGGTGACTTGGTTCGGCGAACATTACTTCAATACCAGGCCAAAATCAGTCACTTTGTACATTCTACTAATATACTATAAACAAAGGATACAAGGCAGTTCTTTTTTCCTACATAAAGAAATTTGGAACACAGCACCTAGCTTTAACAATTGCCCAATTGGTGCAATGTTTAAATAGGGTTGGCTTTTCATCTAAACCATTGATTGAGTACAAAAACTTTTAATGTATTATTCGCAATTTTATTGCTGTCAAAAATTTGTTTTTTCACCCAAAGCTTTAAAAACCAAATGAATCATAGACATGCATTATCTGATTAAATTTTTTTTAATTTTCTCTAAGCAGATATTTGAATACTTGGTCAGAATTTTCCCTATTTCTTAAATCTTGCTAGGAAATTTGATTGTGTATCGTTACTTGTGTTGATTAGTATATATAACAGTTACTTTAATTCAGTTTTTTCTCATATTTTTTCTTGATTACAATTAGTTAAAGGAGACATGACACGATTTTCAATTTTTGTTTCAAAATGTTTATGTATGCATAACTTTCCCAAAAAATACATCGATAGCAATATACGTGTCAAAAATTTGGTGAAATATGTATTTTAATGCAACGATTTATCGACCTGTCAAATATGCATATTTCCATTCCGGAAGTCACTCAGAACAAGGCTACGACGTCAGTGATTCCTATCATTCATATTGACATAAGGGTACAGCGCAAATTTAGTTTCGATTATTATCCAACAAAACGCTGACACTGATAAACAATGATTCCTAAACAATGGATTCAACAATATAATTGAAAAGAATAGTGACATGATATTTTCTATTTTTCGAATGACACGCAGACTTAGAAGGTGTAAAAATGGGACTTTTTAACAACCCCAAACTACACTTCTTTCCGCGCATTTTCATAAGGAATCCAAAGTTGTTAAGGTCTCGGTTGCCACGCCATGAGTTCATCAAAGGACACAGGTGTGCGGTACAGGTGATTGAATTTCGCAGTTTCAGGTCTCGTATGAAGTTGTAAGCTTCAGGTGTCACGCCACATGGGTGATTGATAAGACATAGTTATTACGCAATATTACTTCATAAGCTCTTTGTGTACATCCTTGATGTAGGTTTTGCCGAGGGCACAGGTGAGGTTGGAATATATTATCGTTACAGTAATACAGGTATAACTACCTGATGTTTAATGAATACCTGTATTACGACCATACAATAACCTATGCACCACCAATTAAATACCCTAACCAGTATTAAAAAGGTTTATTACAGATGCAATTTGTTTAATTGACTTCTTCTTGAGATGGAAAAGTAATATTCCCGTATGCTTGCAAGTCTATGACTTCATAAGAAATTGTTAGGCATAAAGCTCGATAAATTAATAGAAAAGATACACAATACTGGTGTAAAAGCTTGGATGCACGGCAATTAACCAACCCATCCACCCTCCTACCCCCCCCCCCCCCTCCCCCCCAAGACCTCCATCCCACTTAACAGTGGCGGGGGACAAAAACTCTGCCACATACCCCTATTGTTGACATTTTTTTTAATTAAAAATTCCATACTAGTACATGAAATTTACTTACTTTTAGACTATTGGACTATCAAAAAAGGCTTTGTGCTTGTAACTATCATTAATTTGCCGACCACCACCACACACACACACACATATTATTTTTATAAAAAGCATAAAAAGCAAACAAGGAAATGATACGAGAAATTAAATCATAAGTCTTTTACATTCTTATATTGAACATCGAATATAATTATTGACAACTACCTAGTTGGTAAAGAATCAGATGATGAAAACCATTTCTTTTTTAAATGGAAACTTAATAATAAATGAAGAAAGTGTCGTTTGAACCAATTATTTGGTATAACCTCCACAATGAGAAAACCCCATACCGTATATACGGCTATAAAAGGCCTCAACATGAAAAATGTGAAACAATCTAAACGAGAAAACTAACGACCTAATATATAACAAAACAATTTCCGAAGAACAAATATGACAGACGTGAACCAACGAAAACCACTGATCTACATGCTCCTGATTTAAGACAGGCACATACAGAATGTGGCGGGGGTAAATGTTTGTGAGCGCCTACCCTACTCCCCCCTCCCCCAACGTGTGACAGTGGTCTTACAGCAGTATATAAACCCAGTCTAACTCAAAAGATCGGTACGAAGTACAAAACCACAAACGTGAAAAAAACAATAGAGACAAAGTACTGAAATAAGAGCACTCGCAGTTACTGTAAGCTAGTTTAAAGCCAAGTACAACTAATACATAGCTCATGTTTTCCCAGACTGAAGTATGTTACATGCATAGTCATGCTCAGCCCGATTGAAAATTTAACATTTTTTTGAATGACCCCTATTTGAAGAAATGTTTTCAAAAAGAATATTATGTGTTGTGTATATTTTACATAACTATGTAATATGTTTTAAAGGAGACGTGACACGATTTTTTTTTTTTATTTTTTATTTTTTTGTTAAATCAATAAATATTAGTCTTAAAACATGTTTTTGTGTACATGGGTACAGTATCGCATTTGACACAGCAACTCAGTATTTTTCTAAGTTAAGAATAGTAAACATACACAAGGTAAATTTGAAAAAATAAACATTGGATGGCAATAACGTCGAATATGATAACAATAGCGTGAGGGAAATTTATGGTCTCCGATTAACAAACGATCTAGATGATAAGCAGTGTATGTATATATGTTTCATGTGAATCATTAAAGCAGAATCTGATATAAAGATATAAGAAGATATCTCCTTATGTGGAAAGTGATAGTTGTCCTTACATTTCTATAAGTGGCACTGAAAAATAGTAAACATGAAATTATGAATAAATAAAAGTTGAATCAAATTTCCTCTGATTAACTGGTTGGCAAAGGATATGAACTAATTAATTCTGCCAAAACGAAAATTATATCCACTCCAACATTGTATGCACATTTGTTACTTGTATATAACACTCACAATCCTGATATTTCCTAATTAAAGGAAATAAGATGGACAAGGGAAAATAAACAGTTTTCTCTGCACATAGGGCATATTTGAATATGAATATACTGTTAATAGCATTCTGAAACTAACTAAATTTGATTACCATTCCCGTATACTTAAAGTACTTCGTGTGTAAAGATTTATGCTCCTTACTTAAAACCTACGAAAGGTTAACATCTTCCGAAATGAAAGCCGAGTTTTGTCAGCTGAACTAGAAGCAGGGGACAACGGCTGCTGTAAAACGCTACGTTATATTGCCGAAGAAGTGAGTGGATAAAGTACTGGTTCCAGCATCGGTTTGAGACAAATTAAAAACATCAGATCAATTTAATCAGTTTAAAGCGGATTTCAAGACCTATATATATAGAATTTCTTTTATAATAGAAAACAATCATTGTTATTTAGATCGTTATAAAAACGATACAGTATAATGAACACACTATACGACTAAGGGGTGAATTACAACATAAACAATATTCAATTAAAACAATAATAAATAATGAATACAAAAAATAAAAAAAATATTTCGGATACTAAATATCCGTCCCATGAAATTTGCAACGTTTTTCTTCTAAAACCCCAAAAAAATTTCAAATTGAACATCTTTTGATCAAAAGTTATACTAAAGAGTTCTGTTTTTAAAAGGTACACAAATTAAGTATAAACAAAGGTTTAGGTGAGAATTTTAATCACCATGAGAAAAATCAACATAAAATTGACAATGGGACATTAGTAGAAGGACAGGGAATAAAATTAAGGTATATCTCAAAATGGACATTATTTGTATAACACTGGTAGCTTTGGGGAAATCGTCTGAAAATTTCCTCAACAAATGTCAATGAAAAATTTGTTATTTGCAGTTTAACAATACTTTTGATGCCAATGTTTTAACTTTTTTAAGCAAAATCTCACACGGGAGATTATATCTTCCCATGAACTTCCCTCTTCGTCTAATTAGAAGTTCATCTTTCAGTCACTACGAGGACAATTCATACGTTTGTGAAATTGCTATTGTCACTCGCAAACCATTCTGTATATATAATACGAATTGTTGGACATACACAGCGTTCTATAGTCTTGTGAGTAACTTTCAATTACAAATTGTGAATGTCATTCCAGTGGAGTGAATAGGTATGTATTGTTTGTTTGCAAATCAGAAATAGCTTATTCACAGAGCCTACTAACGAAAAGCCTATTTTTGAGGACTTCCAGATGATAATAATTTAGGATTATTGCCAATTTCCTTTTAAAATTTCCCCCCAAAAAAGTTTTTATATTTTATACAAAAACACATTTGGACTATGACACATGTGAAAGTAAAATTTTGATTTCCTTCACAGTTGCACACAATGAAAATGATATGCCATAATTCTTTTACGACTATTCCGTTAAACAGGTCCCCGTTTAAAAAATGAATTCAGCAGTTACAGCAGATATTCATAGATAATGATTAATCATACATTTTTTGCTTGACTAGGTTAAACATCATATACTATCAAATCTTACTTCTTGTGATGATACAACGTCTATATGTTAGAACATAGGTCATTGAAACAGTTGCCTTCCAGCGTATTTGCAGGTTTTTGGTGGAAGTCTAGGTACAAGTTCAGGTGTCGATCTAAAATTAAAAATTATTTTACAAATTTCTTTGTTTTATTTCGTACGGAAGCCCTGGAGTGCCATGTAAAAAAAAAAAAACAACTTGTGCGCGCAAGTTACTATCTTGTGCGCACAAGTTAATATCTTGTGCGCACAAGTTACATAACTTGTGCGCACGAGTTACTAACTTATGCGCACGAGTTACTAACTTGTGCGCACGAGTTGTACAACTTGTGCGCACGAGTTGTACAACTTGTGCGCACAAGTTACAAGTGTTCTAATTGATATGCGCTCATCTTGCTTTAAAAGCTTATTAATGGAACGCCGTAACTACCTAATGCGAACGTATGTTTATATATATGCGCATTCTTTTCAATATCTGCACATACTTTTTCTATATATGCACATACTTTTCCTATATATGCACATAGTTTACTTTATATGCACATATTTTTTCCTACATATGCACATACTTTTTTTTATATGAACGTAGTCTGGTGCCTTCATCTGTAGTCACTTGTTTTGCAAGCCATAACTTTGTATTAGCCGATTTGTTTGTAATAAATTTTAACACAAGGATGCTTACCACTAATAGCACGTTGGGACTGATTTTAGTGGTTGTTGTCCCAACTGTTCAGTAAGTAAGGGTCAAAAGTTGTACAAAAAAGAGGCAGTTTTATTAAACTTAGTTTAAATTGCCTATTGCTTTACCAAGTTTAATTAGTTTTTAAAGTCTTCAGTATAGATCTGTTAATGTAAATAGGTTTCTATTCTTATGATGTAGTAGGTGGGACCGATTAAAAATGGGGAAATTTAAATTTGTGTTTTAATGCCCTGCCGCTAGGTGAATGGGATATTAAGTTTTACCCTTGACCGTATGTCTTTCCGTCTGTCCTATCATCCGTCTATTTGTTTTCGGCACTCTAACTTAAGTTTGTCTTTTCTTAATTTGATGAAGCCCATGTACACAAAAGTAAGAACTATAACACGCAGACAGAGTTCTAATGTGGACCGTGAATCACTTATCGTCCTTGAGTTATGCCCCTTTTTAACTTGGAAAATTTCTCTTTTATTTTGGTTTCCGCCCTCTGTCTTTAGTTTGCCTTATCCAAATGTAATGAAACTCACAATCAATGTTAAGAATAACAACAGTCAGATTTCGAATTTCGATAGTAATTCATTTTCTACAATTATGCCCCTTTATAATTTGGAAAACTGAAAAGCTTGAGCAGGGACATTCGCGTCGTCAGACACATTCTTCTTTTATTAAAAAATTATGTTTTTTTTTTGTTGTTAAAAAACTAGCAGCAGCAGTATGAAATTTGTCTCTGTGGGAAAAATCAATTCCCAGAGAATGGAAAATGATTTATTCCGTGTTTTCGGCTCTCTCTTGACACCATTCGCGAGTATGGGCTTGAGAAACGTTGATAGTCCGTCGGAAGGGGACAATAAATGGTTGACCCGTTTTAAGAGAGAGCCATATCTCTTGCACGTAAAAGATATCCTTGTAGATTTCGAAAAAGAGAAGGCTAACGCCGCTACAAGGCAGTACTCGCACCCGCAAAGTGGGAAGGGATTAATATAAGTCGCAATAACTTGTTTCCCAATCCACTATAAATAAATATGTTTAAACTAATTTTCTAGTACTTCGTTTATCTCTCGCCTGCGACGAAATCGCAGAGTAAGACATAGGTACTAATATCCATTTTTGACACTCTAAAAGTAATTAATTGAACTGTTTTCAAAGACCTTATTTGAACAATTTATTACCAATTGTATTAGTAAGTAGAATAGATAGTTTAGTAGTGGAACAATGGCTTGAAGACGACATACATCTATATTTGTAAGGAGTTTTGTGCAGCTTCGGAAGCCAGTACATAGTTGATTTTTTTAAGTTTTCCTTGTTAATATAAAAAAAAGAAGATGTGATATGGTTGCCAATGAGACAACTCTCCACAAGAGACCGAATGACACAGAAATTAACAACTATAGGTCACCGTAAAAGCAAAAGCCCATACCGCATAGTCAGCTATAAAAGGCCCCGAAATGACAAATGTAACAAATTAAACGAGAAAACCAACGGCCTGATTTATGTTAAAAAAAAATGAACGAAAAACAAACATGTAACACATCCACAAACGACAAACACTGACATAATGGCTCCTGACTTGGGACAGGCTCAAACATACAGAATGTGGCGGGGTTAAACATGTTAGCGGGATCCCAACCCTTCCCCTATACTGGGACAGTGGTGTAACAGTACAACATAAGAACGAACTATAAAAATCAGTTGAAAAAGGCTTAACTCATTAGATGGATACAAATAGAAATACATCTAACAAAAACACAGAGTGGACGTTTCTTAGATACTATAACCAACAGGTTAACTCTATTTTACAAGGAAAACTTAACATTGACCAATGAACCATGGAAATGAGGTCAAGGTCAGATAAAACCTGCCAGACTGACATGTACCACATATAGTTGACCCACTGTCTTATAACTTCTGATAAACTGACCTAATCACGTAATTTTAACCTTGATCACTTATCCATTAAATGAGGTCATGGTCAGGTGAACCACGTCTGACGAATATTGCAAGGAACCCATATACAACATGTAGTTATGATCCTATTACTCATAATAAGTGAGAAATTCACATGCCAAAAAAACCTATAATTTTGCTCCAGCTGTCGTTGTACCAATTAAATTAGGTCAAGGCCAATGGACATATGACAGACGAAAACTTCCAAACATAAGGTATCTACATACAAAGTATGAAGCATCCAAGTCTTCTATCTTCGGAAATATAAAGATTTATACAAATAGTTTAATAGTTATCGCCGTCGCTGGACATTAGTACCTATGTCTAACTCTGCGATTTCGTCGCAGGCGAGAGATAAACGAAATAAATCATTTTTCATTCACTGGGAATAGATTTTTCCCACAGAGACAAATTGCATACTGCTGCTGCTAGTTTTTTAACAACATCAAAAACCATAATATTACAATAAAATAAGAATGTGTCTGACAACGCGAATGTCCCCGCACAAGCTTTTTAATTTTCCAAGTTATAAAGGGGCATAATGGAAGAAAATGAATTACTATCCAAATTCGAAATCTGACTGTTGTTTTTCTTAACATTGATTGTGAGTTTCATTACATTTGGATAAGGCAAACTAAAGACAGAGGGCGGAAACTAAAATAAAAGAGCATTTTTTCAAGTTGAAAAGGGGCATAACTCAAGGACGATAAGTGACCCACGGCCTACATTAGAACTCTGTCTGCGTGTTATAGTTCTTACTTTTGTGTGCATGGGCTTCATCAAATTAAGAAAAGGCAAATTTAAGTTAGAGAGCCGAAATAAAATAGACGGATGGAAGGACAGACGGAAAGACATACGGTCAAGGGTAAAACTAATTATCCCATTCACCTAGCGGCAGGGCATTAAAACACAAATTTAAATTTCCCCCTCCTTAATCGGTCCCTCCTACTGCAGCAAAATGATAGAAAACTATTTACATTTACAGATCTATACTGAAGACTTTAAAAACTCATTAGATTTCATAAAAAAGCAGTTTAAACTAAATTTTAAAAAATGCTTTTTTTATAACTTTTGACCCTTTCTTACTGAACAGTTGGGACAACAACCACTAAAATCAGTCCCAACGTGCCATTAGTGGTAAGAATCCTTGTGTTAAAATTCATTACAAACAAATCGACTAGTACAAAGTTATGGCTTGCAAAACAAGTACATGACTTCAGATGAAGGCACCAGACTACGTTCATAAAGAATAAATATTTGCGTATAAAGTAAACTATGTGCATATATAGAAAAAGTATGTGTATATATATAGAAAAAGTATGTGCAGATATTGAAAAGAATGCGCATATATAAACATATGTTCGCATTAGGTAGTTACGGCGTTCCATTAATAAGCCTTCTTAGCAAGATGAGGGCATATCAATTAGAACACTTGTAACTTGTGCGCACAAGTTGTACAACTCGTGCGCACAAGTTGATAACTCGTGCGCACAAGTTGATAACTCGTGCGCACAAGATAGTAACTCGTGCGCACAAGTTATGTAACTCGTGCGCACTAGTTGCGTTACTCGTGCGCACAAGTTGTGTAACTTGTGCGCACAAGATAGTAACTTGCGCGCACAAGTTGTAATTTTTTTTTACATGGCACTCCAGGGCTTCCGTAAATTCGTGCTTTGATTACTTATAAATAATAAACTAAGTTTTGAATTTGACTGTGGACATCAGAATAAGGCTTGTATGTCATCCTTGACAATCCGCCGGCCTCTCATTTTTTTCTTCCTGGCTTGTAGTGAAAATTAAAGTTAAAGTAAGCAAGTTCTGCCACACATCGGTGTCTTAATTGTGGCATCTAATTTCGACAAAGTTAATATATATATGCTATTGTAATGTTGTCATATTTAAACGTCGAAGTCATTTGTGTAGAAGAGGTAATCCCGAAAACAGTCACAGATGGCCCATTAAAGTGCCAAAACATCTAATTCCCATAATGCAAGTGATAATTTTGTTCTGCTGATGTCAATTTCCTTTATCCATATGCGACGACCCTTTTACGTCTGGTATAAGACTTCACCAAAACCTTCTTGTGGTGCGTCTGTATGCAAAATATAAGGTTTTTCGTAATGCGGATAAACCATCATGTTCGGCCTAACTAAAAAATCTATTACTTTTGATAATAATAAAGTATGTTCTTCCAACCATTCTATTTTTGTACCTGATGAGGCCTGATTTGTCGATTTCCTCATATTTTGCTCTTTTAAGTTGACTTATTATTGACTTTAAGCAAGCAGTAAATTGGTTTAAGTCGTTTGAGAAATTCAGGATGTATTTTTCGGTGATATCCTACAAATTCCAATATTCTTCGAAGCTTTCCTATAATTGTTTTTGGCTTTCTTTACGTAAGAGCAATCACTACTTCCTTGTCTGTGTCCATTTGGTATCCCTTCTCCGATATCAAGTGTCCTAAATATCGGACC